AAAGAAGCGAACTACAAAATAGGCCCCAATTAAGCGTAGCTGATAAAGAAAAACTAAAAACTTTGTACAAACTTACCAACAAAGAAATAAAAAGGTGTTACGATACCTACAGAACAACAACCATACAAAGACACCTCAATAATACTAGATCTGCCAAAAAAGCTTATAAAGAGCTAAATCAAGCCAAAACATGGGTTCCTTTTCTCAAGTCGGGCAACAACAATTGCAAATCTCGCACAGAAATCATAAATGCTGCTACTGACTTCTACGCTAATCTATACAAACATTCAGACACACAAAATCAAAAAATGGTTTCCTATAGCTACATAGAAACCTCTCCGACACACCAGTTTACAGAAAATGAAATATTGAAACAAATAATGAGACTAAAACCAGAAAAAAGCCCAGGACCGGATGGAATCACCAACGAATGTATCAAGGTTGCGAAGACTCTACTACTGACACCAATCACTATCCTATGGAATAAAATACTTGATGAAGAAGCTGTGCCACATCAATGGATGACATCGGAAATTATACTAATATATAAAAAAGGTGACCCAGCTGATATAGGCAACTATCGTCCTATAAGCCTAATGCCTTATTTTTATAAACTTTTTGCCTCCTGTCTACTGGAAAGGATAGCCCCAGCCATTGATGCTCACCAACCGATCGAACAAGCCGGTTTCAGAAAAGTTTTCAGCACGATTGATCATATCCAAGTGGTTGACCAGGTGATAGAAAAATATTCAGAATTTAATAAACCCCTGTATTTAGCTTTCATAGACTACAAAAAAGCCTTTGATTCAATTTCACACGAGAGCATCTGGGAATCGCTGGAGGCAATAAACACAAATAAAAAGTATATCAATATCTTAAAAAATATTTATTCTAACAGCACAAGTAGAGTAAAACTAGACAGAGTAGGCGAAGAAATCAACATAAAGAGAGGTGTCCGGCAAGGAGACCCGATCTCACCAAAATTATTCATAGCCATCTTACAAAACGTAATGGGAGAGCTGCCATGGTTCAATCATGGTATTAATATAAATGGAAATTTTTTAAGTTATCTCAGATTTGCCGATGACATAATTTTATTTTCGGAGACCTCTCACCAAATAAACAAAATGGTAAATGAATTAAACCAGGCTAGTATAAAAGCTGGTTTAGAAATGAATCTGGAAAAAACTAAAATTATGTCTAACCGTAGTGCAATGCCCGTTTTAGTAAATAACACACCTCTCGAGTTTATTAACCAATACATATACTTAGGAAAACAAATCTCCTTTAGTAAGGATAGAAATACTGAGGAACTTAACCGAAGAGTGGCGATTACCTGGAACAAGTTCTGGCACCACAAAGAAATACTAAAATCGCAACTTCCGCTACCGACCAAGAAAATAGTTATGGATACTGGTCTTCTACCGTGCCTCACCTATGGATGCCAAACTTGGACTTTCGATCTCAAAACCAGGAACAAAATTCAGACTACCCAGAGAAGAATGGAAAGAAGTTGCCTAGGTATAAAATTGAAGGATAAGGTAAAGAACGTAAACATTCGAAAGAAGACCAAAATATGCGATGCCCTAACTTTTGCAATGAAGTCTAAATGGAAATGGGCGGGTCACGTAGCCCGTTATAAGGACGATAGATGGACTCTACGGGCAGTAAAGTGGTCTGGGCCAAAAGGCACCAGATCAAGAGGTCGACCAAAGGCCAGATGGGCCGATGAAATTGTAGCGTGCGCGGGTGATAGTTGGCTAGACAGAGCTATTGACAAAGAAGGGTGGCATACCTTGGGGGAGGCTTTTACCCGAACGGGGTCCATGCGTTAAATAAATAGGTAGTGTGATAATTAAAGTAAATAATAATTTAAAAAAAAATTAAACTAATTACTATATATATATATATATATATATATATATATATATATATATATATATATATATATATATATATATATATGTGTATGTATATACATACGTACATAAACACTCACGCCTGTCACCCAGAGGGGTAGGCAGAGACTACCGACTTCCATTTGGCACGATCCTGACATACCTCTTTCGCCTCCTTTACATCCATATATCTACGCATACATGCTCGTCGGTTAAGGGTACTTCTAACGTGGCCCATTTTCAAAATATCGCCAATTTGGTCGATAAACTTTTTCCTAGGGCGTCCCTTCCCGACTCGGCCATTCACATCTGCCATATAAATTTGCTTTGTCACTCTTTCCTCATTCATTCTTTCTACGTGACCAAACCACCGAAGCATTCCTTTCTTAATCCTGGTCACAACATCATCTTGCATACCACATTTATCTCTTATCACGCAATTTCTCACCCTGTCATTCAGATTACACCCTAGCATATTCCTTAAAGACCGCATTTGTACAGCATTTATTCTACTTTCGTGCTTCTTCTGCCACACCCAGCTTTCACTACCATACATTATAGTAGTACATATGTATGTATATATATATGTATATATATATATATATATATATATATATATATATATATATATATATGTATATGTATATATATATATATGTATATGTATATATATATATATATATATATATATATATATATATATATAACTTAAGTTAAGAAATGTATCGTTTAATATGTACTATGCATGGAATTAAATAAAGCTTTATTATTATTATTATGGGGTATCTATATAGTTTTCTCATCTGGTTGGGTTCTATAAATATATAATTATAAATGAGAATGAAAAAATAAATATACATAAATATCAATAACATAAAATAAATATAAAAGTACATAAATAAATAAAAGCCCAACCAGATGGAGGCCCTCGGCAGGGGAGACCAAACGGCCGAGGGTTAGGGGGGAAAGGGAAAGAAACCGGCGGACGATGCGGGCGGTATCGAGGAGCACCGCCTTCTGCATTTGAACCTGGAGCGGTCCGCCACGTAGTCCCAGCCGCCTCAGATGACCCGAGAGGCTGACTGGGATTAGCCCGTTTGCAGAGACGACTACAGGAATAATTTCGGTCGGCAGACCACCCCACATGTCGGTCACCTCGTGAGCCAGGTCCAGATATTTTGTTTGCTTGTCTGTTTCGGCTTTCACGAGGTTCTCGTCATACGGAATGGTAATGTCGACCAAAAATATCCTTGACTGTGCCCGGTCCATCAGCACAATATCAGGCTTATTCGCAAGAATAGTCCTGTCTGTGATGATGTCCCGGTCCCAATAGAGCCTGGCGCGATCATTTTCGAGCACGGCTTCCGGCAAGTACTTGTAGTACGGCAATTTCCGGTCCACGAGACCGTATTTCAGAGCGAGCTCCTGGTGTATAATTCTGGCTACTAGGTTGTGCCTGTGCAAGTACTCAGAGTTAGAAAGCGCCGAACAACCGGAGATAACATGCCTAAGTGACTCACCGGGATGGCGACAAGCTCGACAGATGTCGACGGTGCCATCCTTTAGGATGTATCTCCGATAGTTGTTGGTCTTAATAACCTGATCCTGTATTGCACAGACAAAACCCTCGGTTTCCCCGAAGAGATCACCAAAGCGTAGCCAGTGGAGGGAGGCTACTGTGTCTACGAAAGGCTCATGTAGAGCCTTGTAGAACCACCCGTGGAGCTCCTTCTCCTTCCATACGGTCTCTCGGTCGGAAATGCTCTGCACTGCCGGGTCTTGCCGTTGCTCGTTGGCTAAGGATAGAGGGGTAAGTCCTTTATCACAAGAAATGACGTCCGTATAGAATGGATCATCCGATCTCTCCAGGAAGTAATCACGGACGCTGCACACTTCGCGATTATGCATGGTGAGCGCGCTCAAGAAGCCACGACCACCATGCTTCCGCGACAAGTACAACCTCATTACCGACGATCTCGGATGATGCATCCTATGGGACGTCATGGTAGTGCGGACTTTTCTATCCAGGGCGTTAAGTTCAGTCTGAGTCCACCTGAGTATGCCAAAGGTATACATGAGGACAGGCATGACCCAGCCGTTATATGCGTGTGCCTTATTCACACCGGACAAAAGGCTGTTAAGCACTTTGGTCAAGCGTGCATAAAACACGTCGCAAACTGACTGTTTCATACCAGTCTCATCGATACCGATGTTTTGTGACATACCCAGGTATCGGTATGTTTCAGCCTCGGAAAGGGTCCTTAAGTTGACGGGCATAGATAAGTCTACGCCCTCAGAGTTAGCAACCCTTCCCCTTTCAACATGGAGGACCGCACACTTATCCGTCCCAAGCTCCATTCCAATGGAATTGCTAAATTCACAAGTGATGTTTAGCAATTCCATAAGATGGGAGCGACTGGAGGCGAATAACTTGAGGTCATCCATATAGAAAAGGTGGGTCACTTTTGTCCCTCCTCTCCGTAGCTGAAATCCCCTCCCGGAGCCCTCCAGTAAGGTACTGAAAGGGTTCAGAGAGAGGCAGAACCAGATTGGACTCAGACAATCGCCCTGGAAGATACCCCTTCTTATCCTTATGTGGTTCTCCGCAGCCATCATCCGCTCGCCCAGATGACAAAGGATCGTACTCCACTGCCCCATACACTGCTCAAGGAAGTCTCTAACTGTACAGTCTATCTTGTACAGCTCGAGGACTCTCTTTAGCCATGTATGGGGCACCGAGTCGAATGCCTTTCTGTAGTCTATCCAGGCGGCGGAGAAGTTCCGACGGTTGCGTTTCACCACTTTGCCAATGACCGCGTCAATGAGGAGTGGTTCCTTGGTTCCACGACCACCGCCCCGACATCCATTTTGAGCGCGCGACATCACCTGATTTGAGTCCAGGTGACAAGTGATTCTCGCGCTCAAAATGGATGTTAGTGTCTTGTATATGGTCGGTAGACACGTGATGGGGCGGTATTTGCTCGGGTCTGTGGTACCCTGGTCTTTAGGAACCAAATGAGTGATCCCAGTAGTGAAGAGGCTTGGGAGCGACTTCTGGTTGAGAGCCTCTTGAAACTGTCGGGCAAGCACAGAGTGACACACCATGAACCCCTTCAGCCAGTAGTGATGCAGCCCGTCAAGCCCCGGACTTTTCCAGTTCGGGGCCCTAAGGACCGCCTCAGCTACGTCATCCGGCGTTATGATGACGGGGTCCATGGGCGTAATACCCGCACACTGACTCGCCACAACTTCCGTCCAAGGGCCCTCGCTGTGGTTTACGGGCTCTGACCACAGGCCGCGCCAGAATGCTACAGTGTCGGCCTGATTCGGTGCTGGACCCGTTCCACTTACCATTGGTCGCTCCAATGATTCATAGAGCCTCTTCTGATCACTCTGGAAGAGACGATTCTGGTTGAACCGTGTCGACCTCTCGGTATATCGCCGAATCCGTTTTCCCCAAGCAGCGATTCTCTGCTTCAGATCGTCGATGCGCTCCGTTTTAGTTTTTGCGTTATATCTGGCTGGGACAAACTGACATGTCCCTGTAAACGCCATCCTGACGGTGCGCACAATTCTTGGCCTGTTATTGCCTGATCTGAAGCATATCAGTCTGCCGATGAGAGCACTAGCCTTTGCGATACGTTCCTCAATTCTTCTTCTCCATGCTGGGATAGCGCTACTTTGTCCAGTAGCGCGTCCAGCCGTGGAAACCTTGGCGCCTATGATACGGCAGACTGCCAGCGCGGCGCCAAAAAGAATTGAGTCCGTCTCGCAAAGGTCCCGGCTGGCTTCCAAATAGGTCACCAGCATTGGGTTCAGAGCCCTCACGACAGCCCGATTCCGCTTGCTTAGGGCTATGCGGGGAAGTCGCGGTCGATTTTCGTTTCCACAATCGCCTCTTCCAATGTACTCCTCATATGCTCTAATTTCAGTTCCTGGGCGACTGTTCCATCATCGTTTGAATCAACCACAACTGGGGTATTCACGGCGGCATCCACGTTTGCGGGTTGCTCTACCATTTGTGGCGCCGCATCCTCAGCCGTAGCATTCGCATCCGACGAGGGAACAGCCTCACGTCGTAGCCGTTCGAGTTCGGCGACATCAAATATATTTGAGCGCAAGATATACCGAACTCGGTCTGCCAGGTTTTGCTCTGTGACGGTTAAAGATGGCTCCAGCTCAGCAAAAAGACGATGCATCCTAGCCCGATACGCCAAACATCCAGTTTCTCCCCCTTTCGCCCCAAAATACGCCCGCAATGCGTTGCTGTTCATCTGGGTTGTCCAACGCATGCGGCGTACTCCACCAGAGGCGGGTGCCGATTGCTGGGCCCGCGAAGACCCTGCCGACACCAAGCCAGCTGGTGGGGATGATGGATGCGAGGGGCTGCTGGGTGGTCGTGCAGCACCTCGCGCTCGGCTGGCGGTTCGCATGCTGCCGCGTCCAGCGCCAGCTCCAGACGCGCCCTGGCGACCTCCAGGCAGCGGCCCTTTGCGCGTTCTTCCGTATTCCATCATCCATAGTGGTGGGCGTCATTTAGCGGGAGACGCCCAGACCCGGCGCCGTTTCATGGTGAGGCCATGTGCACAAGCGGGCCTTTGCACCTTCAATTTTTGCCGAGGCACGGCACTAACACCTCTTGGCAAGGTGCTGACTGACTGCGCTGACGTAGCGGTTTTGTCACATAACCGTTACGTCAGCGGGCGATGGGGTCGTCACTTCCCTACGCCTTACTATTATTATTATTATTATTATTGATAATTATACATACGCATAGAGATGTTACAAGACTAAATTTACGAAAATGTAAAACTGTCTTTTATCAGAAGAGTTGTCCCAATATGTGTATAAAAGTATACATATAATAAAATACCCAATTATATTCTAAAATTGCCATTTAACTTTTTTCAAAAAACATTGAAGCAATGGCTTATTAAAAATTGTTTTTATTCCCTAGATGAATTTTATTGTTATAGACAAAAGTGATATTCCATTGACTAAACTTGATGACTATTGACATATACACCTTAACTTGACGATATTTTTTATTTTTTTATTTTTATTTTATTTTGGCATTAAGACTGGATCTAATTTTGTATTATTTCTTGTTTAATACCATCAGGTGTTTTTTTTAAACTGAATTGACAAACAATCTTACAGCTTACAGTCCACCTGATGATCAGTGGTTCATGGATACCTGCAGCCAACATCCAACAAAGAAGGCTACAGATGTAATTATACTGGCTCTGTACCCTTCAGGTCGGCGTACACCAGTACAGGCACTGCTATTTGCCGACGGAAATAGTTATGAAGGTACCTAAGGAACCTAGCCTAGCTTAGGTTTCCTAAAAATACGATTTTCACAATGCAATGTTATATACATAGAATACTATAATACCCAATAGAATGGCTGTCAACCTTATTTTATACTAGGATTTGCGTCGCCGGGAGCCCACATACAAGCAATTACGCCGTAATATCAGTTAATCACAACTACAAACCCGATTCACTGTGTTGACAGACGGATTTCAATACATATTTATTTATAAATAGCGTGCAATTTGCCATTTTCTAAATAATTTGCATGCGAGGAAACGATTGTAACGTCAAAACACATCTCGTGTTGACATTTTATACGTGTGAATTGACGTGTTAGTGGCATTTTAGTGGCTACACGGGTTCCGCGCACTCCCCCGTTCTATTATGTATGTATTATTGTATTCTATGGTTATATACGAGATAATAGCACAAATGGGTCGGCTCGACCGGGGAATGACACACACTCTCACAGAAAACCAGCGTAAAATAGTAGCTTAATGCTACTGTGTTTCTTATGGTGAGTGTAGAGGACCGGAGAGTCTTTTTACTGGAAAAGACGCATTCCATCATCATCATAGTATATCTCATATCTTCATACTGCATTCTGTGTGAATTCATTTTTCTAATCATGAGACGCAACCACTTAATGGTGGGTGTGCTCACTTGTCACCCTATCTTATAAAAACAATATCTTAAAACTTTATGCGAGCAGTTCTTGTGCTGTTTAAACTAGCTTATAAGTATGTGATATTTATTTGAAAAACGATCACGTCGACGAACATCTAATCATAATATAATCTTTTCCTCTTCCTCATTTGTCAAATTAAATTGAAACTGTTTACGGACAACGACTACTTAATTAATTTTATAATTAGGATAATGATATAATAATTTAGTTAAGTTATTTAAAAAAATCTTATATTAATTTTAATATTTATATTTATCAGTCATGAGTACCTAAACAATGGTTTATTAAATACTTTTTTTCAAAGACTTGTAACTGTCTGCTATGAAAATCAATAATTTTCAAAAAAAGAACTCTTTCGAAACACGGTTCACGGTATTAGAATTTAGCCATTATTTTAGCCATTGTCATTAGATTTCATGTAAATATTAATTATAAAAAAAATTTGAGATAACTTTAAACTAATGTACTATGTGTATTTAAACTAATGATCGATTCCAAAATCTAAAACTGGCCGAGTGCGTGTCTTGCCACGCAACGCACAGTAAGGGGTTCCGTAGTTGTCCGTCACAATACGTGGGCTTTCGTGATAATGAGCATAATAAACATTGAGTTATAATGTACTACGTACTAGAGAAGCTATTCCAAACAAAAATTGTGCGCTACTTCTATGTCTTCGCGCATGCGCGGTAATAGTAGAGTCGCGCATGCGCAGTTGGTATAAACGCGCTTTGCGCTTGCGCGGTCAGTTTTTGTTATTATAGATTATACGTAAGTAGAATGGTCAGTATGTAATAATTGTTTATTTATATTGTATTGTTAATTATATCGAGTACTTACAATTTTTTAAATTGTTTTTTATTTTGTATATGTGCTAATTTAATATAATATTACATAATATTATGTCAGAATTACATTTTGATGATATTGTTATCTGAATATTTTAAAAGGTATCTATGTCAAATATAAAAAAACGTACTAAATGTATGTTTAACAAAACTTATTAACATAAAATTTAAATTACAAATATATTTATTTAAATTAGAATCATAAATGTTGTAAATAATCGTTCATAAATGCTGGGCACGCGAGAGTTAAAAATGGACGAATTTATTCCACTTTGACTTTGAAGTGGAAACCTAAAAATAAAATAAAAGAATAATAAGCAGATTTAAACATGAAAAATTTAGCTTAATTATAATAACTTATATGTTTCTACAAAAAAAAATGTGTAGTATAATAATATATTCGTCCTAAACTTAAGTACCCACAGAAATGTCGCATCTGAACATATTAATTTCATAATCTATATTCAATGATACGAGATGGCGTCTTAGGAATAATTTGCTTTATTATTAATTTATAATACTTTTTTTATTGAATAAGTATCTTATTAACCGATGAAAAGTAATTCCCTGGTTTTTACTGACATTTCTTAAATTATTTGTGCAATATCTAAGTACACAAGACGGCATATTTTTATCAAGAGATTTTTTTTTAAATCAACACAACACGTGACAACTCTACAAGCGCCTAGCGAGTGACTGATTAAAGTGCAGTGCATGCACCGCAGTTGAGTGGAACAGAGTAGCTGAATGCAGTGTATCCTCTAGTACGTAGTACATAATAGCTCAATGATAATAAATGAGTTCTCGGTTTGACCGCTTTAATGACTAATGGGCCCAAAGAGGACAATGGTAACTAAAGGACTTATTTTCAAATTAGACTTATAAGGAGTGGTATTCAAAAAAGATAAATAATACATTTTACATCAAATCATTTATATGTCAAGTCTGTACAAAGATGGTCCTAGTTGACTATCTATCTACTATATATTCTCGGCAGTGCAACCCTAAGATATATATGAACGTAACGAATTGCTTAGCCTCAAATGGCTTAGCATGACAATCTATATTGTCATGCTAAAACCAGCAATTAATTACGTTCAAGAGTCACGGCTATCCGTGACTCTTGAACGTAATTAATAAATAACATCATGTTAATAGAAATAAAATGAATCTTACAGAAATAGATAGACGTGCTAAACTGATAAATAGCAGAATAAGGAAACTTCGTGGAGACCAGGAACTGAAATATATATAAATAATTATTACTGGTCACCAAATGTTGTTGAAGTTAAGGAACACTGTGCGATTTAATTGGTATCAACAAAAAGAGGTGTATGTTCTTTAGTAAAGATTTGTTCAAACTGACTTTATAAAATAAATGATTAGCCTTTAAATTCGCTAAGCATGGATTAGGAGTGCTATACGTATTATGTAAGTTTGTGTTCGTGAGCATTTGTTATTTGTACATTTATTATGCATCGATGTGTATATGTTTATTTATGTTCTGTGAATATTTATTTATAATACGTATAATACGTCAGTTTATATGTTAACGTGTGTACTTATGTATTTCGAGTAAATAAACCTAACACCACTTATCTTGTAAAATATTATGGGAAAATTTTAAAAATACTACCTCAAATGGCTTAGCAAGATCCTCCGTTATGCCGAAAATATTGCAGCATTAATTTTGAAATAAATATATGGTAAAGTTGTAGATTAATTTTAAGTGCTATGTTAGACAAAAACACGATTCCGTAAAATTTTTTCGATAGAAAAAAAATCTCCAACCTGAACAATACCTCCAAACTGAACAATAAACCGCTGTTATTCATAAAATACCATAAAATACTTTAAATTAGATCATGAAACTTTGCATACTAACTGAACTAACTATAAAGCAGGGCTTACGTTTTTTAAATTACCGTTATTGTCACTGTAAAAAGAAATTACCTAAA